GCACCACCCACAGTGGGCTGGGCCCTCCCACATTGCTGAATAATCAAGAAGATGCCCCAAAGATAATAGCCACAGATCAGTTCAATGGAGGCAATTCACCAATTGAGGCTCTCTCTAGGTGTGTCAAGTTGACCCTAAAGCTATCCAACATACATGACAAAATTTATCTTTTAAAAATTGATAGAAGAGCTAAGAAGATGACTCAATGGGTAAAAGTGCTTTCTGTGCAAACCTGACAACCTGAGTTTGGCTCCTCAGAACCCATGTAATAGCCTGGTACAGTAGAAACTCCTAGACCAGGACAGAGTGGTAAAGGGATCCTGTCTCAAACAAGGTAAAAAGACCAGGATGGATACCTAAAGTTGTCCTCTGATATCCACAGACACATGTGTCAGCACCCACACACAAACATGAGTATATACATACACTCACACATCACATCACACAAAACACACACACATACAATCGACAGCAGTCTAAAATTCAACATTGAGGGACTGATTTAAAACTGTTAAAGTTATATTTACAAAGAATTGCTAATAACTAGGAAATCAACTCAGGAAAAAACATTAAATGACATGAGGGTTTCTGTAGTACAAAGTGAACTACAAAACACAAAATTGTGAAGAAACTATAGCAAACTGTTGACATAGTGAAGTCTATCTGATTGGAATATAGCTGTCATTACAGTGGACCTTCCAAATCTCCTACAATGTGTGTGTCCTTTTTTGTTTTCTTGGTTTTTTTTTTGTTTTTTTTTTTTGTTTTTTGTCTTTTTGAGACAGGGTCTCCCTGTTGCCCCAGCTGGCCTGGAAATAGCTCTGTAGACCAGGCTGGCCTTGAACTCAGAAAGATCTTCCAGCCTCTGCCTCCCGAATGCTGGGACTAAAGGGGTGTGCCACCACGCCCAGCCTGTGTATCCTTTTTAATTCTAAGAAAAAAGAATGTAACAGATGCAGTACATCAGTCAGTGAAACTAAGAATCCAGCATCCTTTCCCTCCTTCC